GACAGATGTCAGAGGTAGGTTCTTTACTCAGAGAGTAGTAAGGGCGTGGAATGCCCTGCCTGCAAAAATAGTAGACTCGCCCACTTTAAGGGCATTTAAATGGTCATTGGATAAACATATGGATGATAATGGAATAGTTTAGGTTAGATGGGCTTCAGATTGGTTTCACAGGTCGGCGCAACATCGAGAGCCGAAAGGCCTGTACTGCGCTGTAATGTTCTATGTTCTATGTTCTAAAGCTATTTAATGTAGCCATCTCTATGTAAAATCTTCGTTTAAAGACTTACTGGTGTTACATCCTGCAATAGCTTCCCAAATCGGAAGTAAAGTAAAGTAATGAGTGAAAGATTTTAAATAAATGGTTTAAAAATAACAGTCATGTTGAGTTTATGAATTAATTAATCACACAAGCCCTAGTTTATAAGTCTAAATGTCCTTCAAGTATATGTAAGGCAACATTCTGCAGGAAGGCAACCATTGAGAGTTATACTTGACCCACAGCATTGCTCCTACATCTTCTGACTCAGACAAACCAAGCCAAGTATAGCAAGTGCAACATGAGAACTTCCTGGATATAAATTCTCACTTATGCAATCACTAATGTATAAATGACCATATTAGTCATTGACTGCAGCACCCACTCTGAATGAGCAATTCATACATCACGAAGATGGAGACAGGCAGGTACTTCTCTAAGCTATTAGAGCTGAGAGTAGATTGATAAAATGCAGAACTGAAGCCAACAGCAGTTAAAATTCAGAGCTTTCAGTTCATCAAGGAGTATCAATTCTTTTTCCGCACTTGTTATAATTACTGATCGTGATGTCCTTCAACTTGCAGAAAGATGCAATCTCAGGCAATGGTGAAAGCATTCATCTGCTGTGCTGAGAAGTGATTATGAGCCTCAAGTTATGTCATAGCTCACTGAGGTATTTTAAGAACACTGCTCAATAGTTCCTAATTGTAACAAGTTGCTAGTAAACATATAGATACAGCATCTGGGCACCAAGATTCCACAGTACTGTGACATTTTAAAGCAGCCTGATGACTCAATATTCTTTTCAATAAAAGTTACTCACTGGTTGGATTGAAGTCCTTCAATTTCCAGAATGACACCCTTCTCATACAGGCGAGCTGCTGTGTAGCGTAAAGTTGATTGTTTCATTTTTCTGTTACCCTTTTCTTCCCCTTTTCCATCTAATTTTATTGATCTTCTGGCATTCCTGCAATTCATCCAAGAAAATCATATATTATTTGTTCATCTAAGTGATTCACAAAGTAGTACCTGAAGACTGTCTGAATGTTAATGACGTGGTCTAAAAAATTGCATTAGTGTAGAAAGTTTACTGAATTGAACCGTATCATTTGCGTACTTTCTTGTTAAGTTGTCCAGGCAGGTTTTAATATATGTGTTGTAATAGTTATTCTGTTCTTCATAAAACTTGGCCTTTGAATTAAGTGCACCCAATGTCTGTTGCAATTTCACAAGTTCAGCCTTGCGACGCTGGCGATACCGTCGTTGGTTCCGGATATCCTGAAACACAAGTGATAATTGCAGATCACTCATCTAACTTTAATTTAAATGTATCTAAAATGTGTCTTTCAATCATGTCATTATGGGCATTTTTGAATATGGTTCTATGAGGGCCAACAGAGAATTTTGAACAAATTTAACATGAGAATATGGTAGTTTCGAACAGTCACCTGTAAAGTGAAGTAAAGCAATCCTGCACAGCATTTAGAAAGCTGTGGGCTCATATTTGAGTTGCAACATATAGGCATAATACACAGAATTTAAACAAACTGAAAATTGATTTAACAAATGCAGTCAAACAGTACAGTTTTGTCTTTATAATAAGCCAAAAGGTCAATATACTTCTGACATTTTAGAATTTGATTTTAAAAACCTGATCTCTTTGCAGAATTGTAATGGCAGAGGGGGTTCTTTGGCTCATTGTGTCTGAACAGGCTGTCCAAATGAGCATAATGACTTGCTGCCAATCTCCTATCTTTTCTTCATACTCCTGCACATTATTTGAATAGAAACAATCATGCAATGCCTTCTTGAATGCCACAATTGCACCTGACTTTACCACGCTTCCGGGCAATGCATTCTAATCTTGAACTACTTGTTGCATGAGAAAATATTTGTCTACATTGCATTTGTTTCTTTTGCAAAATCATTGTAAATCTGTGTTCTCTCATTCTCGATCCTTTTATAAGCAGGAACAGTTTCTCTCCATCTACTCTGTCTCTACCTGCTCATGATTTTGGAAACTTGTATCAAATCTCTGTTTAGCTTTCTCCTCTTCCAGCACACAAGTCCAACTTCTCTAATTTATTTTCATAATTGAAGCTTCCCATTCCTGGAACAGTTCTCGCAAACCCCTTTTACACTCTCTCCATTTGTTCTTAACTGTGGTGCCCAAAAATGTACACAAGACTTCAGCTGAGGTCTACCTAGCATAGTTTGCATGCTCGTCCTGCCACCTTTAATGACTTATGTGCAGGTGCCTCTGTTCCTTCAACCACTTTAGAATTCTACCTCAAAGTTATATTGTCTCTGCTTATTCTTCCTACTAAAATGAATCACCTCAAAATTTTCTGTAAAAAATTTCATCTGTTACCTATCTGCCCAATCTACTATTTTTCTACACCCTTTTGAAGCTTGAAACTGTTCTCTTCACAATTTACACTGCTTCCAAAATATCTTCAAATTTCAAAATTGTAACCAGCACATCAAGATCTACATCAGTAATATATGTCAGGAAAAACAAGGGTCCCACCCAACCCCCAGGGAGTTCCACTACAAACCTTCCTTCAGCCTGAAAAATATCCATTAATTGCTACTCTTTTCTATTAGTCAGCTAATTTTACATCCATCTCACCACTGTCCCTTGTACTCCATGAACTACAACTTTAACTCATAGTTTCTTATCAGACAATGAATTGAATGCTTTTTGGAAGTCTACATATACACATCAACAGCATTACCCTTGTCCAGCTTATCTGTTAACTCATTTGCTGGACTGTTGTGAAGAGGTAAACATAATTTTTCCTTAAGAAATCCAAGTTTTCTTTTCCTACTTAATGCACATTTCTTCACGTGACTATTAATTCTACCTGAAAATTTGTTTCTAGAAGCTCGTCCTCCACTGAAATTAAACTCATGGTTTGTAATTGCTGAGCCTATCCTTACAACCCATTTCTGAACAAGAAATGTTCATTTAAATACCAAGCTTCTCTGCTGTATACCTTTGCAATATCATTGATTAATTCCTGGTATTTATTTGTCGACGAGACCAGGCCAGCCTGTTCCAGTGTCCGAAGGTTCCTCTGGATTTTTCGTTTTTTCTGCTCCAATGGAAGTTGTGCATCCTCAAGGATGGACTGACTGTGTTTCATTTTTTCAGGAACTTTGGAATCCAGTAGAGCACGTTTTTCAACCACCTTCAAATGATTGGCTTCCTAATAAATGGCACAAGGATTTATACCAGCTGAGATATGTACATATTAACAAGAGGATGCACATACAGTACGATTCTGGCAAAATCCTCACAAACTAATTTGATCAGCAAACCATAATTTAAAACCATATCAAAGATGGTTTTCTAACCATTCAGCACAGAAATAACCTCCAGTTTTTTTGATAGAAATCACTTTAAACATATTTAACTTGTTCATCCAGTGTAAATGATTGTTTTTCCACAAGATTACATGGTAAAGAAAACTGTTTGGCTTATATCAACAATCCCACAGAATTAGGACTCTGAGTTACCATGGATACAAATCAGTCCTATGCTACATTCCTTTATAACTACATCATTACAGAGATACCATCAGTTTGCTATTTTTTGAAGTGCAAGGAATTCAACAAACGTCCCACATTAAATGAAAAACAAACTGCAGGAAGACAATTTCAACATGCAATGTGTACCACATTTATTTTGCTTTTGATAGATTTGTGACATCACTGTCTGCTCATTATGACTTTTACAGATGTTCATTTTATATATAGCTTGAACGCTAAAAGCAAAAAATAAAGAAGCCAGAAAGGAAAATTACACAACTATCCAAACAAAAGTAACTTCAGTTTATTAACTAATTCGATATTCCATTACCTCAAACTGGAGTTTGTAGCAGAAGTATGGTATTGTTACCAAAAATTGAGAATAGATCCTTAACACAAACAATTTGATAACACCAGATGGACCAAACAAACAAACAAACAAACAAACATAAGCATATAAACACTTAAACCTAACACACTTGTTATCAAATGGGTGTTTTTTAAATTAAATTATGTAAAACACATGCCAACAAAATTGTAAATGTAATAATAACTGCTGTACTTCCAAACAAAGCATCTTGTCCATTCCATGAACCAAAACCTGCGTTCCTGTGAAATGTTGTAGCTCTAATGACCTTTCACCCTTTAGGAAGCCCTTACTTTTGGTTCCCTCGAGGCTCCTCTGCTCTGTTCTACTTGCTTCAGCAGATGTTGACCATGTCTTCACCCCGCCCTTAATTCCTAATCAATCTGTTCAGGAATATTATTACACATATCTAGATCGGGTGGGACTTGAACCCTGACTTCCTGGTTCAGAGGGGAGGGACACTATCACTGCACCACAAGAATCCTCTCATCTTGACCTTATTGCAGATGGCAATCCTGCTATTGCCTGTGAGGCAATTATATGCAAATTACTGGTTAATGAGGTAACAAACTGGCCAGCGGTGCTGTTGCATCCTTTGCTGCTGGAGTGACATTAGACCATAGCATCCTGATGTTTGAGGAAACATTGTGTTAAATTGAGCAGCTGCAAACTATGAATATTTGAGGACAGGAAAAAAATTACACAGGCAGATACCGAAGGCTTAAAACAGCAAGTGCCCAAGCAGAGCATAGAAAGTGCAAGCAGTTGTTTAGAAATAAAATCAGGAGAGCAAAGAGGGGACTTGGAAAAAAAACACTGGTGGGTAATAGAACATAGAACATTACAGCGCAGTACAGGCCCTTCGGCCCTCGATGTTGCGCCGACCTGTGAAACCAATCTGAAGCCCACCTAACCTAAACTATTCCATTATCATCCATATGTTTATCCAATGACCATTTAAATGCCCTTAAAGTGGGTGAGTCTACTATTTTTGCAGGCAGGGCATTCCACGCCCTTACTACTCTGAGTAAAGAACCTACCTCTGACATCTGTCCTATATCTATCACC